CAAAAAAACTGTATTTCAGATCTCATCTTAAGGTGGCCTTGATAGTTGCTGTGCTGATATGCTGTCTGGATGATGAGTGCATCTAAATTAATTAATGGGGAGGTAGTTCAGAGCATAAAAAGATGGGAGTGGCTGGTTATCTCTGAGTTGCCAGGCAAAATCATAAACTCCCATTACACTTTGAGTATAACTCTAAACAGCAATAATCTGTTAACGTTTAGCTACTCCAGACCACCTTGATCTTTATTTCAGGTACTATGCCCTCCCTGCTTCACTTTTGTGGTTTTTTTGCATTCTGCTTTAGGTAAGATTGTAAAATGTTTGGGGAGCAGGAATTCTCTCCCTGTGTTTTGTACAGCACTTAGCATAATAGAGAATTGATTCTGACTTGGGCCTTTGGGTGCTCACACTACAAGTATTAATGGAAGTTTTACTAATTCTTATTAATTTTTTTTGAAATACTGGTTTATTTTCTGTTCTTTTCTGCACAAATTACAAACCAAATTCTTAAATACAACAGAACCATCTGGTTGATATGAAGCTTCACAGTATATTCTCTTGCTGTTGAACATGCTTCTGTTGGAAAAACATTTTTTTTTTTAAATTAAACATTTAGTGCTCTTGGCAACTATTTACATTGAATGCTTTCATCCTAATAGGATGTGGACAGTCTGAGACACTCTCTTATGGATGATCAGAATGTTAATGAAGAAATTCAAGCTTTGATTATGAAACATCTAGATGAAAGCCACTTGATGCAAGGTATGAGAATACCATCTTGTGGAAGGATACTGGAGGTCACTGCGCTGGTGGTATTTACAGTATCATCTGTTAGCAAAAATCCCGTTTTGATTTTTCTCTCCAGTAGTCTTTCCTTTCATAGAAGAATGTTGGGTAGTCTACCTCTCCCAAAACAATTTTATAGATTTGCTGTCCACCATCCATAATGAAATGCTCCAAAATGGGCAGAATTAGAAACTAGGACTCTTTTTTTAAAAAAATGGCTGGCTAACATCAGGCATCTAAAAAGTCATCTGATTTTCAGCAGTGCGGAGCACTCAGCAGTTCCCATGGAATTCGGTGAGAGCTGTTTGATTGCTCAGTACTTCTGAAAATCTGATGATTTATATAGGTGCCTGACTTTAGCCACCCACTCTTTTTTTTTCCTTTTAAAAAAAATCAGAAGTCTTAACCTTCACTATTCTATAGCTCCATTGAAAGGCACTGGAGACTTATTAGGAACATCTCTTCTGTTCAAGTTAAAATTGTTTATAGTACAGCTCACCAACTGTAATCTCTTATTTGTTGGCTTCCTATAAGTCTGTCTTTTTGTAAAAAAAAAAAAAAAAAAAAAAGTTTGTGTTTAGTGGAAATGATCTACGTCTGGATAGAAAATTAGTATAATGGAGTAAGTAACATGGCAGCTCTTGAAACAGTAGCAATAAAAGTGAGGAAGAACTCCACAAATCGGACACTCAGGGCTCAATCTCCAGGTCCAGCTGAGCTGTGCTTGCCATTTTTTTGACTCCTGAATTCTGAGAGTGGCCCCCAGTGTGTATTATAGCAGCAGAAAACCCAATAAGCTGTTCCAGCAAATGGACTAACCAGAATGTGGAGGTATTCTGGTCACACTCCTTTTTCCCAGCCACAATAGTCCCCTGTGTCTGGGGTCAAGAGGGAGGCATATGAAAACTACATTGTTACTTTGCCTGTTGTCTTCCAGTGCTATTTACTTATTTTCTGGTGTATATCGCTGCAGGCTAGTTAGTGTTGACACGTGGATATGTAATGAAAGTTACCATAATGTGTGTGCCCCCATCTTCCCACTCTCTGAAGCATGTTTTTTGTTTTTTAAAGGTGGTAAGAATGTAATTGGTTCAAAAGTAAGGATTTATAGCTTGGATCCATCTACCCAGTGGTTCACAGCAACTGTTGTAAATGGTAATCCAACTACAAGGACTCTGGAAGTCAACTGTCAGGAGGTAAAGAAGCAACTGATGCAACATGGGTAGATAAAAAGAATTAAAACACCTTCCTTGTATCTAGGTAATTCTATCCTTGCTTTTCCATAGTAGGGTTAACCAGCTGGAATAATACCTTGTATTTTACGTCATGCTTCATTCCAAAGGATCCTAGAGCACTTTATACTGCATGCACAGTGCCACTGATGTGCGTGGAAGGATAGCAAATGGCTCACTGCACACTAGTGGGAGAGCAGGGGTTTGGGATTTTCTCTTTTGGCCTAACAGTTGGGGAAACCCCTATTTTAGCATCTCTATATGTACAGAGTTTGCAGCACCATGTCTTGGAGACTGCCTTCTGAAAATGCATGCATACATACAAGTTATCTAACTTGTTAAGATTTGAGCTTGAAGTTCCACAGAGTCAAGGTTTTTCAGACCAGAAGCTTACTCTGTTGCTCCATAGCTAGAGTATCATACTTCTGTTTGTTTAAAACTGCTTTATTAGTCTCCCCTGAGTTGTGAAAATATCTAATCTAAAACTTCTTACACAAGTTGTCTTTTTAAAAAAGCTTACTCCATTTTCCCTTAAGATTCCAGCTTTAAAAACTCTTGATCCAGAATTGATTCATGTTGAAATCATACATGACAGCCATGACAAGTGTGGTAAGACCTTTTATTTATTGGCCTTTTGCTGTTTGAAGTAATTTTCAATGTTGGAAACATACTAATTTAATCACTTTCAATGCTTCAGGCAAATCTAAGAGAAATGGGGGTATGAAAAGAAAATCATCTGATGATAAAGGAAATGTTGATGCCAAACATATAAAGTCCTGCTCTGAGGTAACTATGGCTTATTTTCACTATTGTAACTTTGTCATTGAGCTGTTAAAGAAGAGGACTAGACGGCCTCAATTTACTGACCCACTATGCTATGTCTACGCTTAGAATGCTACAGCTTCTGTGGTGCAGCTGTGCCTCTGTAGTGCTTCAGTTTAGACAATTATTATAGCAACAGAAGGGATGCTTCTGTCAATGTAGGTAATCCACCTCCCTGAGAGATTGGTAGCTAGGTTGACAGAAGAATTCTTCCATCGTCCTACCATTGTCTATGCTGGGGGTTAGGTTGACTTGACTGTCTCAGAGATATGGATTTTTCACACCCCTGAGTGATGTAGCTATGCCGCTGTAACTTTTCAGAGTAGAGCAGCCTTGCACTCACACTTCTGTGCTAGTCCAGAAGTGGGTGTAGTTCTCTCTACTAGAAGACAGAGAACAATATAATTGAGCCTTTGGGTGAGATCACTTTCTCATTCGTAAAAGGAGTTTGTCTACTTCCAATCTTGTGGGTGTCTTTTTCCAGTGTGCAGACTTTTCTTGCTGGTTATATAGAGAGAAATTTAAAGATCAGGGTTTCTCTAGCTTAGAAAAATACCTAGGAAAAGAGGAAAAATTCAATGGTAACTTTACCCTGTAACTTACCTGCTTGACTGCTCAGATTTTTTGCTACGAGACAGGAGTGCACCAGTCTTCCAGAGATATTGTATGTTGTTCTGCAAAGGGAGAATCTGGCAGCTTTTCTAATATTTTCATGTTTTTCTGAGCCAGATGCATTTGAGTGGTCCACCAAGCCTAGCTAAGATCCAAGAAAGCTGTCTCGAAGGCCAAAGGCCTGGATGATTTGGATATGGAGAATAATGGTATAGCTATAGAACAGCCCTTCAAATGACCATGTGATTAGCCTCATCAGATCTAGTTGCTTTTTGTGGAGGAGGGAGGGGCCTTCTGGGATGTCTAGCGGTTATCTCTGTGCCATCTTGCTTCTGTGCATAGGTTACTGTAGCCATGTGGTCAGTCCTTTGTCAAGCCAACTATATAGGTCCATTTCATGGTCAGACACTTTTAGTAGAGACTTCTAAGGTACAGTAGTGATATTAGAAATATAGTCACTTCTGTCTGAGGTGGAAACTTTTCACTCTAGTCTTTGGAAGGAGGATACTTTAGCTACCCCAGAACTCTGGAGGGGTTATCTGGATTCCTATAAGGCAGGGGTAGTCAATTATTTTTTGTCAAGGTCCAAATTTCTTGGTCAGTGAAGGTCCAGACTCCAGAGAAACACTTTTCCACACTGCAATAACAATGATAAGTAAATAAAAAGATTTTGCAGTCCGGACAAAAGTAGCTGGTGGCTTGAATTTGGCCCGCAGTCTTCCTATTGACTGCCCCTGCTATAAGATGTCTATCATTATATCTGAGCACCTTCCAAAAAGCATGGAAGCTGATATTTCTCTTCTTTCCAGTCAGCAATAATTGAACTCCTGTTTGTTTGTTTGTTTGTTTGTTTTTGTTTTGTTTTTGTTTTGTTTTTTATTTTTTTAAATGTGATGGTGGTATGGGAAGTAGATCAAAGAACTAGATTTTGTATTTTGCTCTGAAGGTAAGTAAGACTGTCCTGACTACTTCTGGGATTGAGTTCAAGATTCAGGGGCCATTTTCTGAGCGAGCATGAGTTTTAGGCTGTCTACGATTTTAAAATGCTACAGCTGCACTACTATAGTGCTTCAGTGTAAACACTTACTACTGTGATGGGCGGGGTTATCCTGTCGCTGTAGGTAATCCACGTCCTTGAGAGGTGATAGCTAGTTCAATGGAAAAATTCTTCCGTTTGAGGTAGTGCTGTCTACGCTGGGGGCTAAGTCAGCTTAACTGTGTCTCAGGGTGTGAATATTTCACACCCCTGACAGACGTAGCTGTGCCACTGTAAATTTTTCATTGTAGACTAGCGCTTAGTAATGAGGATTGACAGCTCCCTTTGTTTTATTGTAATGTAGCTGTCTCAGGAGGAGATAATTCCACAGCATGAGGCAGCGACTTAGCACAGTCCCATGGAAAGTTTTGAAGTTAGTGACATAGATATTGTGGATTTGACCCCATATTCCACAAGGAGCTAGTGGTCAGTGCTCTCTGTGGCTTTTGCTTCTGAGTGGACAAGCTGCTGTGTTCTGAACTGTTGGCAGTGGTTTCATAACTAGGCACAGAGATTTACCATTTTTATTAACGCTAATAAAAATATGTAGGTTGGGAAAAGTGTCTGTACATCTGGGTATAGTGCTTAGATTATCCACAAATATAAAGTTTAGTTTTTAAAAGTCATATGATACATAGAGTAAATAATCAGCAATAACCCAAATTTAGGTGACTAGATTTTACAGTTTAGATATTAGAATCTGAATACTCAGGTACATCACTCATGAAAAGTTGTATAGAGATTTGATTTTGGAAAGTAAAATATATCAATGAGGAGAGATTGTCCCTCAGTAATTTGAGAATTAGGTTAGTTGTCCATTTAGAAAATACAGTCCATGAGGAAAGTATTTGTTACTTTCCTGACTGTGCTTCTCATTGGCACTCCAGCTCATCCCTCCTGGTATTGCTGATATCCAGTGATGTGTTCTATGTAGATGTCCCTTGACCACCTGATGGCATCTGACACCATGATTTGCCACAGCAGCAGAGCGTTGACCAATTCCGCATTCTCTCAGCACTCGCTTGTTACTGGGGTCCCGTGTGTCTAAGGCTGACTATCTCTACACCTGGAATCTTCTTATGGGGGATTCTATACTACAGAAAATTCTATACATTTGGATTGTATGGAAGAATTAACACAAACTAATAAAATTACCTATCCGACTTAAATTCTTGAGGGCTTTTTGTACCAGTGTAGGTTTCCAGATGAGTTCTGAAAGTTGTCAACATGAATAGCTCTTAATTGCTTTAGAGGAAAATTAGCTGTGGCATGTCAGCTGGCAGTTATCTGAAATACTTGACTTTTCTAGTCTCCTTGAGAAGTTTCTTCTAACTTCTTAACACATTATCCATTTTTCTGAAATTCTTGTGTGCTGTGGGTTGCAAAGATGTAACATGATATACTATTGTAACAATAAGGGGGCAGGAAATAAGAAAGGACAAGTTGAAGATGTATTATAGATGTATTAAAGTCAGCAGGGCCTGACAAAATTCATCCTAGAGTGCTTCAGCTAGTTCCTGAAGTACTCATCTTGGAACCATTAGTGATTATTCGAGAACTCATGGAGGGTGCATTTGGTCCCAGAGGACTGGAGAAGGGCGAACATAGTACCTATCTTTAAAAAGGGGAGTAAAGAGGACAGTAAGTCTAACTATATACCCGAAAAGATACTGGAACAACTTTTTAAACAATTAATTTGTTAGCACCTACATGATGATAGGGTATTAAGGAATAGCCAGCATGGATTTGTCAAGAACAAATCATGCTAAACAAACCTAATTTCCCCCTCATAGGGTTACTGGCCTATTGGATAGGGAGAAAGTGGTAGATGAGACATATCTTGATTCTAGTAAGGCTCTTGACACAGTGCAACATGACATTCCCATCAGCAAACTAGGGAAATGTGGTCTAGATTCAGTTATATACCTGCCATATGGTAAATTAAAGACCATACTTAAGAGTAGTTATCAATGGTTTGCTGTCAAAATAGGAGGGCTGCTAGTGGGGTCCCGCACGGGTCAGTCTTTGGTCCAGTACTAGTCAGTATTTTCACTAATGACTTGGATAATGAAGTGGAGAGTATATTTATAAAATAAGAACATAAGAATGGCCATATTGGGTCAGACCAAAGGTCCATCCAGCCCAGTATCCTGTCTACCGACAGTGGTCAATGCCAGGTGCCCCAGAGGAATGAACCTAACAGGTAATGATAAAGTGATCTCTCTCTTGCCATCCGTCTCCACCATCTGACAAACAGAGGCTAGGGACACCATTCCTTACCCATCCTGGCTAATAGCCATTAATGGACTTAACCTCCATGAATTTATCCAGTTCTCTTTTAAACCCTGTTATAGTCCTAGCCTTCACAACCTCCTCAGGCAAGAAGTTCCACAGGTTGACTGTGCGCTGTGTGAAGAACAACAACTTCCTTTTGTTTTAAACCTGCTGCCCGTTAATTTCATTTGGTGGCCCCTAGTTCTTATATTATGGGAACAAGTAAATAACTTTCTCCATACCACTCATGATTTTATATACCTCTATCATATCTCCCCTTAGTCTCCTCTTTTCCAAGATGAAAAGTCTTAGCCTCTTTAATCTCTCCTCATATGGGACCTGTTCCAAACCACTAAACATTTTAGTTGCCTTTCTCTGAACATTTTCTAATGCCAGTATATCTTTTTTGAGATGAGGAGACCATATCTGTACGCAGTATTCAAGATGTGGGCGCACCATGGATTTATTAAGGGCAATAAGATGTTCTCCGTCTTACTCTCTATCCCTTTTTTAATGATTCCTAACATCCTATTTTGGCTTTTTTGACTGCCACTGCACACTGCATGGATGTCTTCAGAGAACTTTCCACGATGACTCCAAGTTCTTTCCTGATTAGTTGTAGCTAAATTGGCCCCCATCATATTGTATGTATAGTTGGGGTTATTTTTTCCAGTGTGCATTACTTTACATTTATCCACATTAAATTTCATTTGCCATTTTGTTGGCCAATCACTTAGTTAAGACCAAAGCAGACTGTAAAGAACTTCAAAAAGATCTCACAAAACTATCTTGAGCAGTTTAGTACAGTCGGCAAACTTTGCCACCTCACTGTTTACCCCTTTCTCCAGATCATTTATGAATAAGTTGAATAGGATTGGTCCTAGGACTGACCCTTGGGGAACACTGCTAGTTACCCCTCTCCATTCTGATAATTGCCATTTATTCCTACCCTTTGTTCCCTGTCTTTTAACCAGTTCTCAATCCATGAAAGGATCTTCCCTCTTATCCCATGACAACTTAATTTACGTAAGAGCCTTTGGTGAGGGACTTTGTCAAAGGCTTTCTGGAAATCTAAGCACACTGTGTCTACATGTTTGTTTGACCCCCTTCAAAGAACTCTAATAGGTTAGTAAGACATGATTTCCCTTTACAGAAACCATGTTAACTTTTGCCCAACAATTTATGTTCTTCTATCTGTCTGACAATTTTATTCTTTACTATTGTTTCAACTAATTTGCCTGGTACTGACATTAGACTTACTGGTCTGTAATTGCCGGGATCACCTCTAGAGCCCTTTTTAAATATTGGCTTTACATTAGCTATCTTCCAGTCATTGGGTACAGAAGCTGATTTAAAGGACAGGTTACAAACCATAGTTAATAATTCTGAAAGAACGCAAATGTGAAATTGCAGAACTCATGGGTGAATGCCATCTTGTCCCAGTGACTTGTTACTGTTAAGATTCTCAGTTAATTCCAAAACCTGCTCTAGTGATGCTTCAATCAATGACAATTCCTCAGATTTGTCACCTACAAAAGATGGCTCAGGTTTGGGAATCTCCCTAACATCCTCAGCCATGAAGACTGAAGCAAAGAATTCATTTAGTTTCTCTGCAATGACTTTATTGTCTTTAAGTGCTCCTTTTGTATCTCGGTTGTCCAGGGGTCCCACTGGTTGTTTAGCAGGCTTCCTGCTTCTGATGTACTTATATAGACAACACCAAGCTGGCAGGGTTGCAGGCACTTTGGAGGAAAGGATTGGAATTCAAAGAGCTTGACAAATTGAAGAATTGGTGTGAAATCAACTGATGAAATCAATAAGGACAAGTTCCAAGTACTTCACCTTAGGAAGGAAAAATGAAATGCACAACTGCAAAATGGAGAATAACTGGCTAGGTGGTGGTACTGCTGAAAAGGATCTTGTGGGGGTATAGTGGATTACCAGTTGAATACAAGCCAACAATATGGTGCGGTTGCAAAAAAGGTGAATATAATTCTTGGGCATAGAAAGAGGAATGTCATGTATTTAAGTGGTCATGGTAGAGTCATAGAAGTGATATATTTTTCTCGTGTGTTGGCTTTGAATTTTTCTGTTGACTCTGGCATCTGTTTCAGGTATCACATAGTCTGAGTCACGTGCAGTCAGTACCAACAGTGTTTGGTGAAACATTGCTAGGGTGTACGCCTGCAACCCCTGCTAGCAAAGACCTCAGGAACCAGGGCATGCCTCAGCCAGCTAACTCACCTCCTAATGTTGGCGCAGAAACTCCTCAGGGGTAAGTGGTGACTCTCTTTGGGGTTTTTTAACCTGTGGGGGGAAAAATACAGCAGAATAATTTATTTTATACAAAGTAGACTAAATTAAGGGTGGGTTTTTTTTAAAGAAATCATGGTAACTAAGCTTCCTCCCCCAACCCTTCACTGTTGGTGTGGGTGAGACATATCTGACTGATTTTTGTCAATTGCCTTGAATATATAATTACCTCTGGGTTGTATTTCTGCCACTTTCTGTTGACTCATCTTGTGACCTTAAGGAAATAGTTTAACCATCCAGTGCCTCTATTTATCCATCTGAAAAGTGGGGGATAATGCCTGAATGTATTTTGTGGCTTCATTGCTTTAAATTACTTAGTGTGTCTTAGACTCTAAAATGAAAAGCACCAAAGTAGGCATATTGTAAATAGGGAGGGAGATTAGTTTACCTGCAGTTGATTGTTACAGTGAATAGAAATTGTGTTCTTGGCTTGTAGATGGACTTTGATACGTTTAATTTCAGAATTGTCATGAGTTGCAGACCTGGCAAGTGGGGAGTTTTCTTATGTTCATTCTACCCTTCTCCAATGACACAAGTTACAATTTTTTCTACTTTTCTGGGGTGTTTGCATCTTATAAAGATAAGCCTGATGTAATAAAATATACTTCTATAACACTTTTTTATGCTGAAAATAAATTCTTAAAGCACTTTAGAAGCTTCATTAAATTAAAATTCTTGTAAACTCTTCTTTGACATTAGGAAAATATTATTCCCCTTTTGCTGATCAGGAAACTGAAGTATAGAATAGTTACATGAATTGCTTGTGGTCACACAGGAAGCCTGTGTAGAGTTTGAAACAGAATCCAGATTTTTCTGATTCAGTCAGCTGTTTAGTCACAAGACTATCCTTTATGATTCAATAGTGAAGGCTTCATAGGCTGTGTCTACACTGCAAGTCACTGGTGGCAAGCTGGTAGGGCATGTATCGTTACACACTGGAGTGAAAAGCAGGCTGCGTCCACGCTGTGGTGTATAGCTACATGTAAGTGAAAAGGCTCTGGCATTCTATACGTTGCTAAAAATAGCACTGTGGGTGGGGGAGGCACTGCTTAGGCTTGTGGAAAGCAGTCTAGGATACATACTCACAGGGTTCAGGAGTGTCTTTATACAGTGCCTCACTGTCCACACTGCTGTTTATACCCATGCTAGAGGAATATTTAGTGTATGTACTCTACATACTACCATAAAGCATGTATGTTGTATACATACCCTTATGGGAGTTCCGTCTCATACACGGAATGTTGCTAACCTAATTACAAATGCAAATACAGTCCAAGTGACTTTATTTTTTGGAGTAGGGGAGGAAAGCAAATTAATCAAGAGGTTTGTTCCCTGTGTGTAATCAGTCCTATCTATTTTCTGACCCAAATAATCTTACTCATGGTAGCTTGGCAGATCCAATATAGAGATGTAAAAGCAGCTAGATACAATTAAGGAAATGACCAATGAATCAAAAGAATTGTTAAAAGTTCTGTTTGTATTGCATGGACGTGGGGATCTGGAATCTGAAAGGCTAAATTTATGGCACTATTAGTTTGAAATATATGTTGACTGCGCAAAGTAGATCTGGAACACACAACGGTACTAAACATTCTTTAGAGTGTAACTGCACTTCAGTCCTGACTTAGTGTTCCAGGCATCAAGCTCTGCCCCGTCTCCCTGATTCTCCTGTCACAATAGGAGAAGAGTGCTTCCTATAGAAAATGGCATAATAGGAAACAAGATTCTCTTATAAGTGCTATTTAACATTCCATTATCCAAATTTTTAACCTGTTATCCATGCTATTTAAGATTACTGTAGCTGAAAAAAAATCTTAAATGCACATAGTTTTTTTTGACAGAACTCTCTGCTGAATCATTTTCACTGTTTTCCTATGTAGCTTAATAGAGGGTGGTTGTGTGTGGCCTTTTTTAATATATAAGGCCAGAAGGGGCCAATAGTTCATATAGTCTGGCCTCCTGTATATCATAGACCATTAGTGTTCACCCAGTTACCCTGTATTGAGTCCAATAACTTGTTTGACTAAAACATAACTTGCATTTAGCTATTGATCATTTCCCATGTTTATGTAGGTCTTTCACATAGCAACAGTGGGGAGAGAAACACTATCTTTTTATAAATAGGTTTTTGTAACTTCTATGGTGGGGGAGGTACACAGTCAACAAGTTGGCATGGGAGCCCAGAAGGAACAGTAGTTGTAGTGTCTTAAAATCCCCTTGTGGTTTTTCATTGTTTGTGTATCTCTTTTTAAGGTGTTTGGTATGTGAAACTTTTCTGAATGCTTAATCTTAACTGCTAGCATCCATGATTAACTTCCTATGTAAACTCTGGTTCCTTTGAAAAGCTTGGGAGAGCCGATGCATTCAGTTATGGTTTGAGTTTCTCTTTAGGTCTTATTACTGCATATTGTACATTTCAGCATTTGCAAAGAGAATTTACCAGAAGAACATCCTTCTTGTCTTAATACTACGGTGAAAATGTCAAAAGAAAATCTGGCGGTCTTCCATAAAGCAGAGTTTCTATCGAAAGAACAAACTAAAACTCCTAATGATCAGAATAGTAACTATACCTCTTTGAAGACCTCAAGATCGCCATCTTTGACTGACACACACAATGAAAAACAAAGTGACTTGAAAAATGTCCACAAATCTTTTACCAAGCCAATGACAAACTTCCCAAAGGAGCATGTTCCTATAAAATCCACACAGGACCTAGACAATTCTTCCAGAGTAACATCCAGGCTTAATGGCACATCAGAACTGCAGAAAATCTTTGATTGTAAACCCTCAACATCCGATGCTTCTGTTAACCTTTTCGCTGGGCATGAAATTAAATTACAAAGCAGCTGCAAAGGAAACAAGACAGAAAACTCCTTTTCTGCGTGTTCCTCAGTCAGAGGAAACTCAAATGAGATTTCATGTGAGAGAAATGAAAGCGAAGGCTCTAGGGCTGGGAGCACCAGTAAAGTCCACAACAATGGCAAGTATATCTGGAGCTGTGATATCAACAGAGAATTATTGTATATATAGTTGCTTAGAAATTTCAGAAAAATGTGTTAATAGGATAAGGAATCTTACGAAATTGCAGTCTTGATGTCTGAGTTAGCGAAACACCTAGATTTCACTTCTAGAATAGGAACTCAAGGAGTATGATGGGGGCTCCTAAAATTTATACTCAATTTTCAGATTATGTATACAGAGTAAGTCTTGGGAAAAGATATTTAAGGTCTTGGTAGGATTAGATATGCAAGTCATAAGGAAAAAATAATACTTTTTCATCTCAAATCCAATCAGAACAAAATTCTGTTAGGCTACATTAGGGAAGAAGGGTTGCAAAAGTGAGTATAACTTACGAATAGGGCTCCTACTTCATGGCATAATGGGACCAAATGCTACAGCAACAATCCCTAAATTCTAAGGCAATGTTAATTTATTCTACCTTTCATTTCTATCCTTCCACACTCCCACCTCCATACACACTCATACGAGTCAAGCTCATAGTTGAAAATAATTCATTGACAAAATTAGTTGATGGGTTTTTTAGCTGTGCTTTCCAGGTGGCCCAGTTGCCACTCACTAGGGTCCTGCAATGTTCTTTAGAGGAACTTTTCTCTCCTTCCCACTCTGTGTGCCAGAGAATGGGGAAGCTTGTAGCTGGATTCAGTGACTCAGCTCCATGGACCTGGGCTGCTGCACTGTCCTCCAGGAAGCTTAGCTGATCGAGTTTGCAGTCAGACCACAGAAATCCAGCTCTGGTTCCCTGACCCCCTGTTGCCTGGCTTTGTGGAACAGCTCATGTAGCAGACACTGTGACTCAATTCTCTGTCTTGTGGGGAAAGGTGCAGAGCAAGCAACAATTGCAGGTGGATCCCAGCTGGGCATGAAGTCGGGGGGCAGGGGTGGAGGAGGGTGTCCTGAACACTGACTGTAGTAAAATACTGAATTCCATAATGCTTTTGAAAAATGTCTGACCGCAGCAGCAGAATTGTGGAGTCCCCGGAGATTTCACTGAGATGAATGGGGCAATTTATATCTCTCAGAAGTGTTTCAGGCTCTTTGAAGACTCCAAAAGACATTGTTACATCTGTTTACACTCTGGTCCTGTGTTCAAGGTTGCAACTAGCTATTATGTCTGCAGAAATGTAATTTAAAAACAAACAAAAGCTGAGGTTCTGGAATGCAGTTGTGTGGGAAGGGGTAAATTGCAGGGTTGTAACAAAAAATGGGGCCCTGACTATGACCTTATTGTCAGAAAACTTGAAAAGAAGTTTATGCTCTGTAATAAGCAATCAACTTCAAAATATGTTAAGATTAATTTGAGGTATATGGTGAAAAGTTAAAGTAACTTAACAAAAGCAGCTACAGCTTTAACAGATATGCATAGGGTAAGCGAATGGGAGTCTGAGTGACTAGTTGAAGTTGTTTAACCTGCACTATTTTTTTTTTTTCCTGCAGTAATTGTTCACAAGTCAGTCTTGACAGATGCTTGTAAAGTTAAGAAGCTGCAGCAAAGTGGGGAAGCTTTTGTGCAGGATGGTTCCTGCAATAACATTGCACCTCACCTGCATAAGTGCAGGGAATGCCGCCTGGACAGCTACCGGAAAAACAAAGAGCAAAAAGACTCCACTGTCTTTTGCAGATTCTTTCACTTCAGGAGGTGAGAGCAATTTTGAAAATATGTGGATGTTGATATTTTTAGCTATACAAATAGATTTAAGATGATTCAATCAAAGACTTAAAAAAAAACCCCTAAAGTTAGGTATAAATGGGCACCTGTCTGACAATAATAATAAAAAAAAGTGCAGAGTGCTCAGTAGTTTATCTTTAGTCTCTCTCTTAAATCCTGGCCTACAATGGCTGTAGGATCTCCAAAGCCAATCACCTCTAAGTCACTGTTTCAAATGCATCTGAGATCAATTAATAACCTTGACAGCTGTCCAGTGGCTTATGTGATGCATACTGTGTTCTCAGTGTAGGATGGATTAATTTTAAAT